TCTCTCTCTCTCTCTCTCTCTCTCTCTCTCTCTCTCACATGACACCCACCTCCATCACGATGCCTGCCGCCACAGCTGACCTGCTGCTTCTGTTGCTTGTCTCCACCTGTTCAGATACTCCTTGACACTGCAGCGCACTGGCACACCATGTGTCGTTATGCCAGTACGAACTGGCCAACGACTGATATAGGTCTGGTACCTTAGATCTGAAACCATGATCTCAGATTTACTCATTTATTACATAAGCTTTGAATGCCATATCTTGGAAGATTTCATGACGAGCCATGCTTAATGATGGACGGACAGATCTCTTTTACTCTTTTATAGGTTAGCGCCAGGTTCAAAGAAAAGCACACACATTTTGATATGATAACTCCAGTTTTTAGAAGATATTCATATAGGTTAAAGCTTTGTTGTATTGACCCTTCAGTTTACTCAGTGCAATTATGTCAAATAAGAAGATGTGGACACTGATAATGACACTAGAGGAAGCAACCTTTAGAAGAATTTTTGGAATTAAAAAGAATTGCATTTGGCCAAAACCAATAAGAACCATTGTATCATTGTCGCAAGGAGTAAAAGGCTTGTTGGTTGGCATATCCACTTTCTAAGATAATACCGTATGTAGCATACAGAAACTCATCCTCAGCACAGTTCTCAAGTATGACAATCTTGCAGCAATGTATTAAACTTATTTGCTAACAGCCTATAAGAAGCTTCGACCATTATGTGGTGAATGGACTTCCTGCACTGGCCAGCATGCACCAAGCCTATGGGGCGGCCAGCACTAGGCAAGATAAAATTTGGAGAACCATCATGCTCACAAATATATTAAGCAGGTGAGAGCATGACTAACATGGACATGATAAGATATTTGTGCTAGCCAAAGTAGATCTTTGGTGATATAAACAAACACAGAAGAGAATGAACCTATTCAATCAATAATCCTTAATTATGTTAACATTCTTTCATGGTAATCTTATTGTAATAACTGGAAAAAGTCATTAATTATGTTGATCTGAAATGCGCATAAACGTTTATTCACTAAGTTACAAGCAACTTTCCACCTCCAATGTTTTGAGATTCGTTAACAACAAAGGACTAGGAATAAGGATAACAGCAACCAAGAACAAATCGTTGATTTGTATAGAGAAATTATTTCTCACGGCATCTTTTTAAATAATTTGTATGTTTGTCATTGAAATTAGATATTATAACTTTCAACATTGTTTTTTTTTTCCAGATTCTAAAATAGCTGCAAATGTATAATTATATATGCACTTATAAAGCTTAACAAGCAAAAATAATGTTACAAGAGAAGTCATTCCACTGGAGGAAACTTAAGATACCTGACGGCGAAATACTCCACAAAAGGTACAATTGTTTTTCAGGCCTATTGTCTTCACTATCTCATCCATTGTCCAACCATACAAATCCTTGTAAGAAACCACCTTCAGTGGCAACCCATACTGCAAAATATTTGTAAAGCCAGACATATATGAGTCTCTGATACAGAAATGAAAGATGAAATTTAATCGAAGAGTGTGCCTTAAAGTTAGGATCAGAAAAAAAAAAGAATAATTGGAAATATTACTAACAGATAATGTCAAAAGAATAATATAGTTTATCAGCCTAAGAGCCTCAGTGAAATGTAGTTCATGGTATATTCAATAATCAAAATGCAGGCATGCTAAGAGGTGCGTACTACTTTTGAGGATAAAAAGGTATATACATCTTCAAAGATTTAAGTGTTCAAAGTTCAAACTAATATATTTTGCCACACCAAGCCAGCATGTGGTGGAACATACATACAGTATCTGGTCTAATGCCCTAAAGAAGGGTAGAGATACCTGTTCAATGATTAAATTCCAGGTGGCTGACACTTTTGTATACCACCAGCACCATGCTACCATTATACAAACAGCAGTATCTAGTTCAATGCATAAATTCAGAGCACAGAACTGTGCACATACATGGCATGGCATAACAGATGAAATATGCAGCATTACATATATCATAAACCAAATTATAATTTGCTATTAGCATACAGCCTCATAAGTTAGCATTCACATTTTATCATACTTCTGAGTTCTAATGGATACCTGAAGAAATAATTATTGGCTATTCGTGAAGTTCAAATGAGACGCACGCTTTCTTTTATAAAGTAACAGAAAACAATAGTTCAAGTATATTAGTCAACCAACAGATAACCGTGAAATTGAAGTATCGACTATCGAAAAAATAGTAACTTCAAAGATTACTTGCAAAAGCAAATTCAAGGGAACAAGCATCTACAAGAATCTGAACCTTGAACCACACATTTTGTGCCATGACTCGTCCATGTGGGTGTATTAGTACCATACATACATATATATATATATATATATATATATATATATATATATATATATATATATATATATATATATATATATATATATATATATATATATATATATATATATACATATATATATATATATATATATATGCAGTTATGCACTCCAAATTTACAAATTGTTTAAAACTATTAACTTCTTTATCATGCAGTGGTTCCAAGTACAGGACATAAAGTACAAGTAGGCCTCACAAACAACAAAACTATTATTAATAAGATCTTAATAGAAGAACAAAAACATGCACAATATCAACATGGAATAAAAATATTCAATATGTGATGAAAAGTAAATAATAAAACATCTGAGTCATATGTACAAACATACCTCGATTTCATTTCTTTTAACAGTTTCAAGTGAGTCATCCCTGTAACCAGTAATGCCTTCATCAACAGACAAAAGGAAAAGATCTAAGCCATAGTTGTGCCGACGATTCAATTCTGACATAACATATGCAAGAACAGTTGAATCTGCACAGAGAAAATAAATATCACATTCATGTACGAGATAGTTCTCGGAAAAAAAAGTCATATTTATGCGTGAGATAGTTCTTAGTGGAAGGCAACATGGGACTTGAGCTGAGATGAATAATGACAAAATACACATTGGAATTTTCATGTATAAACACACTTCCAGCAAACAAATTTAGAAAATATCAATGTCTCTTGGCAGTGTGCATCTGCCCCTACCTGACCAGTGTACCAGTCATAACATATGCATCTAAGTGTCAGCCACTAGGACAATTGCCACACCAATCAAGCAGTTTGTATATGGTGGGGAAAAAAAACTTGTTTGTTGCAGCAACAAAGCACTTCTGCTATAAAAAAAAAGTTCCCTATTGATGAAAAATGTGGAGCAACTTTACAGGGTGAAATTCCAAATCCAATCCACCAGAAGTCAAAAATGGGATGCAGGAACTCCTTCCATTAAGCAAGAAAACACCAAATGAAAAAGTTGATCATCAAAAGGGAAGGAAGCAACCAACGAGGTGTAAAAGTGGTTGCTTGTTTGGAATGCTCTTCCAACTTCCTTTCCACAACGGATCTTGTTTCGGTTCGAAATCTCAAACAACAAGTCTCTTTAACAGACTGGTCGTCCTAGGACAATCCAAGACTCCTTCCATCAAGCAAGAAAACACCAAATGAAAGAGTTGATCATCAAAAGGGAAGGAAGCAACTAATGAGGTGTACAAGTGGTTGCTTCCATGGAATGTTCCTACAACTTTCTTTCCACAAAGGATCTTGTTTCAGTTTGAAATCTCAAACAACAAGTCTCCTTACCAGACTGGTGGTCCTCCTAGAACAATCCAAGTTTTTTCTGATCATAACTATGTTTATATTTTCACTTTGGTTCTGTATTCTTGCATTCTTATCATCAGAACATTTTTTCCATCAATTTAGGCATCAAACATTCATAAGTGCATTCAATAAACAAATTATTCAAGAAGTAATAATTTTAGGTAAGGAATGGATATGTAAGGTTAAATTTTTGTTTCATTATAAATGGAGACCTGGAAGTAGAGAACTACAAGCTGAAGTTGGTAACCTGCTGTTGTCTACCACCCAAAAGTGTTGCTAAATTTAGAGGTTTGACATCAAAAGGCAAAAGTTCCTCAAATTTGATGTGTAACAAACTGATTTCATTAAACCAACAAAAAGTTATTGGTTAAATTGTACAAAGCAAATCCAGCTAAAACTTTGGACATACCAAGCCTTGACAACTTCTCGAAGTTCTCTAGCAACGACTTGAAATGGAGATGGCTAGAAATAGCAATGACATGCAGAAGGGCCAGTCTAACTAGTGTACAACTGTACATAATAATTGTGACACTCCTTGAACTGATGCCTTAAAGGAGCTCAGAGGGAAAGAACAACGGAAGTGGAATGCCAATGGCCAGCTGGATCTGATGCTAGGTAAGCTGGAGAATGAGATGCTGAAGGAAGATGAGGAACGTCCAGAAAGCATATGGGTTCTGTAAAAAAGAACTACAAAAGCCAAGTCAAAATCTTCTTTTAGTCATAATTTAACAGGTTTCCCAGATGGTATATCAAAGGATCTTTCAGCTTGTTGGTACCCAAAACGCATTAATCCTTCCTTAAATGCACATTCAGGCCTATGGCTACAGACTAGACTACGAGCCATGAATAGTCTAAATAAGAATTAAAATTTCATAGAATGACTTAAAACTATTACGTATCAAACATTTGCAACTTTACATGTCTTCTGCATTCCTTATCTGCCTTCATCACTGATAAACTCAACTTATGCAGTTTCCAGTTTCAGGTCATCTCAATGAAAAAAAATCAAAATGAAACTCAATTTTTTTCCAAACAGATGTTATTTTTGAACATGCAAAAGAAGTAAAATCCATAACTGACAAATTCTCTCAGTTATCAAAAAACTTTACCTTTTAAAATGGAATATACGCTAGGACCACTTTGAAGCATGTCTAAACAGTATCCAGTTGGTTTATATTAAGTATACATCATTAGTCTCGTCAATGCAATTTACAACAATCAAACTGTGATATGCGCTACTAGACAACAGAACAAGAGAGCAAAATTCAACTGGACACAAGGTGCCAATATGTTGAGAAAGAAGTTATTGTATACAGAGATGCATATTTTCCTTTAAAAGAATAAAAAAATAAAATGAAACATCACATGAATGATTTATGCAGAAACTTATTGTTCACCTTTCCCTCCAGAAGCTGCAACCGCAACACGCTCACCAGGTTTAAACAGATTGTTGTCCATGATAACATTATGTATCTCATCCTCAAAAACGCTGTAGAAGCATTCCCTACAGATCTAGAAAAGTATAAATTGAATCTTCATTGAGCTTGAAGTAGTTTCTCATAGAAACTAACATATGCCAAAGCAAAGGCCGATATGCTTTTTGGTAAGTTGGTTTTTTTTTAGTGGGGGTTGTTCCTCTTCCTCTCACAGAACCCATAATGTGAGTTGACCCTCTTTAGCTTGCAGATTATATAATATCATTTTTTTGGATATGCCCAACTCATCCTAAGTAATTTCAGCCTAACCTTATTTATTTCTACTATCGACTACTCTTTTTTTTTTTTTTCCTGCCCTTACTCATAACACCAAATTTCAACATAAACATCCACACTTCGGCCGCACTATGTAAATTACATCAGTTGTATTATGCGCAATCATTCATCTTAATTCTCAACATACGATCTGATATCGATCAGGTGTTATTTTTTTATTTTTTTAGGTGATACCAGATGATATGGTGACCAATAGTTCGTCAAAATCGGTACTTATATCAACATCCCACACAGCAACTAAAACAACGTCCCATATATGATAACCTTCTAAGCGTCCAAATCTTAATTCATAAAGTTGATCTGATGTCATCTGTTTTCTTTCCTTTTCATGTAAGTGGAACTCGGTGGTCACAAAATACACCAGATGTACCTCTACAGTTCACATCTCGGCACTGGTTTTACAAGCTTTTCTTTTCTTTTTTGTTCAGAAGTTCTTGCTGATACTTCTCAATTACCCATTTCGAGTACACGATCATTCCTTATCGTAAAGAAAGGGCAACGCAGTGCCCAAGACTCCTGCCGTATGGTCGATATATAGCCACTATCTAATTTCACCGAAACTAAATTTCATCTTCTATTACACTGATGAGTCGATGGATGTCAACGAAAAAAACAGGCATGGGAAAGGGTAGTACCTGCTCTAGGGTTTTGGGACGCTTCAGCGCGGCCTTCCTCTGGTTACAAGTGGAGCACAGGCGCCCCGTCGCTCTCCTCGGCCTCGCGGTCGCGCCGCCTTCCTCCATGCGGATCGATCGTAAGGCAATTGGAGGAGGGGAGCAAATTGGGGAGAGAGGAGCGCCCGTCGCGGCCTGGAACGCGACGAGAAGCGTTCGCTCTCCTACGAAGCGGTGGTGCGGAGGCAAACTCTGGCTTGTCGGGTAGAGTGATTTAACCTACATAGAGGTGTCGCCCTTAACCCGAACCCGTTCGTTCAATCTGACCCGATCCGGTTAGGATAATGATATATTATGCCCATCAATTTGGGTGTTGGCACTCGACTTTATTTTTTTATTTATTATTTTTTTTTATCTCACTTATAAATAAATAAATAAAATAATAAAAATTAAGTCGAGTGCCAACATCTAAATAAATAATAATAATTTATTTATTTACTTATGAGGGTGAGTCTTTGTATAATAGTGATATTATTTTTTTACGATCTAGGAGACATTGCTCCTTTCCAATATCGGATTAACGAAAGCCTCATATTCTCTTTAGATCTCGTATTGATACGAGCCTCATGTATTAGGTATGTCCCATCTATTTATATATACTTATAAGTTTATAATTTTTACTTTGAATTAAAATGACAAGAGTCTCCTCTTTGTATTTATTTATCTACTTATAAGTTTGTAATATTTACTTTGAATTGAATTCTTCACCAATTCTACTAATTAATGTGGCTTGGATGCACCAATAATAATAAATGAATTATTATCGTTTTTTAGGATATCAAAATTATCATTTTTATTTTTTGGAAATTATATGATAGGAAGAAATTTCTTTTGAAACAATGAATATGGCAGTTTAAGAAACATTGTAAAGGGGGTTTCTTAATTTTTTATTATTTAGAATAAACATTGTAAAAGGACCATATATTTTCCAAGAGAAACAAGGACAAGTCATTGATCATAAAAAAACAAGGACAAGAAACATTCCTTTAAACTCTAATGTCTTTGAAACCTGAATAGATGAATGATGATTCTAAGGAGCATTTTCCCAACTTGTTTCTATAGGGTGGAGTCATGATTTTAGATATAGGAAGCTTAGCCAAAGAGGAAATGAAATGCCCATAGTGGGGTGGGTGCCAAGTTATTGAGAAATTAGTGTTGAAGGTGCTCAATATTGGGTTCTTAGATACTAAAGTTAGTTGATCAACATAATGTATTTATGATTTCATACTAATGTGACAAATATCGTTAATCTATTTTGATATGTTTAGGATCAAGCTCCTTGTGTTTATGAAACTAGCTTAGCTGGATTTCACATATTGAGTCTTAATTGATAACAAAAATTCATCAAGAAAGAAATATGAATGACATTTTCTATAAAAAAATTTATTAAATTTTCTTACTCCATAATATGATTCAATGATTACTAAAATTTTTATTTTAGTCAAATATTATAATAATATCGTTTTAGTAAAAAGTAATTGTATTAATATAATTATATAATCTTTGTGAAATATATTCAAGATGAACTTCTAGTCACCCAACCCTTGAAACAAGAACACCCTCATCCAACCCACAACAACCACCTCTAAACATCTGTACAATCAATATATGGAATGGCTTATGAAAGAAAAAAGAAAAAAACAATTGCAGAATCTTTTGAAAAAAAGAAAATCAGTTGTAAGGAATGATATAAGAAATGAAGAATCTAAAAACAGAAATGCACATCAGATATAAAATATAAAAGAGAGGAAGAAAAAAATGAAAGAAAAAAATCTCATATCGAAGTTGTTAAACAACAATTGATGCACCTATTTGATTTATTTTGAGACTTGATCAACGGTCACATTGCTCATGAGCAAGATGGTTTTACAGCTCTAATGATGAATGCCAGTGGCACAAGGTTGATTGCACAATGTGTCTTTCATATTGAATCTAGTGGTTTTAATTCTTGACTTATAAGATGGACAAGATTACCAAAGATATACTCAGTTCTACTCTTGAGAACACAAGTACAAGAGGTTCAGATACACAAAATGGAAGAGAAGATTCTCACGCAACAATGGATGAACTATCCTTTTTGGGGCCTTTGTTTCCTGGAAATGCATTGCTTGAAATGTCCACAAGTGCCTTGAAGCTATATGGCTCATGCATCGACAGCTCCGACAGCACTTTCCTGTTCAGTTGGATATTCTCCTTCATCAACCCATGCATAAAATTACCATAATTCACCTGGAAAACACAAACAAAGCACGCTGAATCAGAGGTGAAGTAGCCAGAATTGGAAATTCGATACAAAAGTACCATGGATCTAACCATGCAACTTAAGTTGGTCAGTGATACAGATCAAAACCAAGGAGTCAAATAAGTACCACATGCTTTTTATTTTAAAATACAGGGTGATATTTGTTTATAACTGTTACAAAAATGACAAAATCCATAGTTCAAATGTTCAGATGAATTCGTCATGATCCTCCCTTGCAAAAGAAACACCTACAATATAATTTCTACAACAATGCTTTACAATTACATTCACAGATAAGAATACCATGTATTTTGAAATATGGATTGTATTTTAACATGATTATCTCAATATTGAAAGTCCAATTGTGAGTAACAATACCAAAATAAGTCAAAAAAATAGTTAGAAGTAAGAACACATGTATTTGGTTATATAGTTACAACTTTAATAACCTGGATGGAGCATAAGTTAGCGAAGCAAATAACAGCATTCATAGAGATCAAGCAATTCTCTCATGCTCTTGAATCAAGTAGTTCTTGGCAAGGTACAGTTTCCACTTTCAAATATTATCCCTTCCTCCTTCCCCTCCTATTCCTCTTTTTCTTATTGAACAAGGAAAAAAAAAGGCTAGGCGTATGCAAACTACTCGACTATAAATTTTACAGACAATGTATTTTGTATATTTCAGGATTCATTGCATTTAGCAAACATCCATTGCTATTGATGAACTTTGGATCTGGGACCAGGTTTAGAGATTTGGACAATTTGGGCCGAAGTAGATGATCTGTTAAAATTCAGAGGTTCTTGGACGGGACAAGACTCCAAGTCAAAGACAACATGTTCAAGTCAGTTTGGGGTGTGTTGACCAGCTTTAATGGCATACATGTTTAAAAAAAACCGAAGGATAAGGTCTAACTCCTTCTGGCTTTCTTACCAAGCAGGAGGAGGTAAGCATATGCATCCTCTCCCCAAGTGTGACTACTCAATCTCTACTAAAATGTAATAAGAACAGTTGAACGAGGTAAGCATATGCATCCTCTCCCCATGTGTGACTGATCAATCTCTACTAAAATGTAATAAGAACAGTTCAGCTGAAAAAGAAGCGGACATCACCTTCTAAACTGAGAAGAGATTAGCCACATGCTTATCTTCTTTTCATCTAACCCCTCTAGTCTCTTATTCTCAATACTACTGTTCTCCTTTAAACCCCTATTAACTACTACGGCTATCCCATCCTCTACCTATATCCTTGCTACCTGCCCTTGATATGAAGCTAATTATCCATCAGTAAAATCTATACAATCTGCCGAATCTTATTGTAATTTACACTTTCACTTGTTTGTACTCCTAGGTGCAAGAGTGTTCACTATTCACTTTTATAAAGTTTAAGAACTAGTATGCACAGATATGAAAATTGCAAGAGAAAATTATATGAAGCACCGTGTCTGTTAACCATTGAAGAACGTAAACACGATAGCTGTCTTTGTTTCATTTATTGCTAATACTCTTCTCCAACAATTGGATTCTGAGATCTGTGTGATATTAGACGAAAAAGGTGATATAAAGTCAATCTGTTTTTGATCTTACTCTATCCTCCATCACCAATCTACAGTGTGTAACAAGCACAATTGTAGTTGAGAATTGAGATAATATGATCAGAAACAGAGTTGTCACTAAGATCTGTGGCATTCATAATGTGTTGAAAAAGAAAAAAAAATGACGACACACTGGTTAACACCTTCTAAGACATGTGAGTATGGATAACCTAATAAGATGCACCCAAGCATAATAGCATGGGAAGCATACCTTGCCTATAGCATTGCGACTTGGGACTCCATCCTAATAATCAGACTGACAAGAAATAGTTTGGGGTTATAAATTGGATTGACTGGCTAGAGACTATAGAAAGAGTAGAAAAATGCCAAAATACTACTAGTTTTAGATGTGCTCAGACAGCAAATAAAATCCAACCAGATGTTCCCTCCTTGTCAACTCAAGCAACCTCATTCATATATAATGTTAATCATAAAAGTCATATGCTGCTGTACATTCTATCTGCTCAATAGGATTACATTCTGTCTACTCAATAGGATGCATATGAGAACTTTTTAATCAATCATTTATACCTAGGTGGGCCAGGTCAATGACACCATATCTTAACAAAAAAATCTATCACCAAACAGACAGAATTGAACATGAAGAGAAAAAGAAAGAGCTTTGACCTTATGTATCCTTGTCTCCAAAGTGCTGAGTTTATAATCTATCAAGATAATGTTAATTGGTGCATTTAGTTCGCACCATTTAGTTTTACCATTTTGAGCTCTCAATTTTTGTTCTTTTCCTGTTCTGATATCTTTTTTAATTTTGTCTTCCTTTTTTCCACCATATTTTTCCCATCTAAGAAATGAATACAACCTTATCATATCAATTAACCTTACAACTTGCTACCATCAACAATCTTTTTCTACTTCACAAGAGAAACTTGTTTTGGTGCCTGATGTAGTCAAAGCACAAAAAAACCAAAAAGGGAAAACTCTGAGCTTGCAAATCTGAGGTGCTAAAATTAAAATCAGAATTTTTCCTAGGCTGGTTCAACAATAATATGAGCATACAAATTTAAAATTGCATGAATCTGGATCATTTTTCTTATTTAAAACTGAGGGCAATCACCTCTACTGATATATCTAATAAGAAGCAATGGTAACTAAACATACCCCGTGCAACCGAGCGCCTGCATTGATGCGCTCGATCCAGAGAGACCGCATATCTCTCTTTTTGTTGCGGCGATCTCTGTAGGAGTACTGCAGCGCCTTCTCCACCCTCTCCCGAGCTATCCTGATGCAGTTCTTCGCCCTCCCCCTGAATCCCTTTGCCAGCTTAAAAATCTTATCTTTGTTCATCGTGCCCCTTCCTACTACTGTACTTCTGCTATCAACCTCCTCCCAGTTCTGAAACCAACAAACGATCACAAATCACTTCCTCCGTCCCACTCCATTATAGGTTAACAGTCACTAATTCTTCCCTAATAATAAGTAGAAATAAATAAATCATGCAATGATCAACAAAAAAACCCATTTCCCAAAAACCCAAAGAAAAAAAAGAAATAAAATGACAAATACTTCAACATAGAATTAGAGTTGAAGATAAATTTGCTGGAAAAGAGGAACGTCGATCAGTCTTATTATTGTTCTAAACGATGAAGGCGAAGAAGAAGGAGAATATCATAGACATCAAAGATCCTATTTTGACGATGAATGGAGGAGCTTAAAAGCACGGACGACGAAGTGGCGCTCGACGGCGGCGGCGGCAAGGGTTGCGATTCGGAAAGAGTGAGAAACGGACAGTGGGGTTAGGGAAACGGTGTACGTGCTACTCGACCGTCATTAAGGTATCGATAACGGATCGGGATCAACATATTTGGATCCTCCGCAGAAGAGCCATCATAACGAGACTATACTAAAGTCCGCAGACAGTCAAATCAACGCATGATGGGTAGGGTTTGGTGATCTCAATCCGAATCCGCATGAACCGACCAAATTCGCGTCCCGGATCGCATGGGATTTGACCAATTTGATTGTTCTTTGACTACCTTGATTGATGTCTTGGCATGTAAACCCGACCCGTAAAGTAACGGGTAAAACAAATCGTCACTCATGGAATCGAGATCCGCTGTCACCGGTAGTCTAATAACGGGTATCGGTTCGTGGATGCGGACTCGGTTTACCACGGGCTCGCGGGTGAGTGGGAGAGAGCACAATACGGAAAACATGTGGTCGTCGGCACGTAGGAACGAAACGAATTGGTCAACACTTGGGTATCGCGAGGGAGTGCTGCAGAGACCGCCCGCCTTTTCGTGTCTTAAGCCGAGGCGACTGTTTCCTCCCTCCGATCCCCTCTCGTTCTCTCCTCTCTTACTACCCTTCCTCTTCCACGAGACGACGAGGAAGACGGACGAACAAATCGTGGCTGAGGCAAACAAAAGAATCGATAGAAGAGATCGATCGATCCATCGGGAGGATTAGGCTGAAGCCCGCAGTCGAGCGGCACTAACTCCTAAAACAGCGATGAAAAACTTCCCCTCCTCGTCGTCGCCGTCGTTCGATTGATTGGCTCTCTCTCCCGTTTAAGTGGGATCATCCTGGTGGGAGAGATGGCAACACGATCGATTCTAGCGGAACAGCTGAAGGAGTATCAGATCCCGTTCAGGAGCGATTGGCCCACCGCCTCTTCTAGTTCCTCATGCAGGTACTCCCGCAGCGCTAGGGTTACTAATCTATGTTCAAGCTTATTCTCGTTTTCTTCAATATATTAATCTGCTTGGTTATTCTGCTTCCTCCTCTTAGACACATTTGTAATTATTCGCATAATGTCGATCTGATTCTGTATGACCAATGTTGTTCCGCGAACTGTATCGTACGTATAGCTATGCTCTAGAGAAAAATACTTGATTTAGTTCTAGTTTTCACATTTTTAATATGGTGTGGGATGTTTAACCTCATGTGGCTTGTGCTTGGATTATTTTATTGATCTTGTACACGAATCTTTAGGATTGCTTCAATGGATTTTGTTTTAGTGCCTTCGCTTTCTTCCATATGGCATGTAGTGACCTGATGTCTCTCATCCTTTATCATCATTTGAGATCTCCTTGTTTTCCACCTGCAGTCAGATGCCATCTACATTTTTTTTCTTCTTTCTTTTTTAGCTTAAGTGTGGAATTGTTGTTTATGGGATTCATATGGTAGATTGAACAACACTACCAACTGAATCAAAGCTCAACAGGAGATTTAAACTCGTGTTTGCTTGTAATTTCATACTCATTGAGCTCGAATAGAATCTTGATCAGGATCTAGTTAATATCTTTTTATTAGTCATAAATTTTAGTGTGTGGACTCTTCTTATTAACAAAAACTACTTTCTCTGTTTCCATGCATTGCATACTTGCATGTTTCTGATGCTTTGTTAAGTTCTTCTAGAAGCTAGAACTAGTGCTTTCCTGTGGTTTTGAGCTACATGTGGTGCAACGAGAATCACAACAAGAACATTTGATATCATGATGTGAAGACAAAGCAAACTGAACATAAAAAGCTGCAACACATACACAAAAGTATAATAATTTGGGAAGATGATAATCTTATGAAGAATGATAATCTATAGCCAAGTTCACAAGGCACAAATAAATGACACATGTCTAACTATTTCTAGATGAATTAGAGGCATCCGAGTGACATATAGCTTAATGTTTTCTTCTTGATTATCTCATGGGCCCTTGGAGATGCACTAAAACTTGACATGTGACTTTATATTTTTGTTTTGGTTTTCTCATGGGCTCCAGAAGATGAACTAAAACTTGCCAGTCAATTTGAACTAATATGGGCTAAATTTGGTATGCCAAGCCAATACCAATGCATAGCATTTATATGGTCTAAATTTAGTATTCCAAGCCATAAAACAAAATTGAAAGGCATTTATCATCCATCACAGGTATATTATGTAATATTGGTCTATCTCACTTGTTACCTTGACAATTTCACATTTCAGCATATCTCTACTTCCCTGGTATCAACCTATCTCACCTGAGTGGATAAAGTAAATTTGTTTCATGCGTGCAACCTGATCATGATCAACATGCAAGTCATGTGGATAAAGACTTAAGGGACAATACTTTAAATGATGATTCTTAGCCTAGTCAAACTACATTAGGAGGTTTTCATTCCAAGCACTGAAGTATTCTTTATGGACATTCATTTCTTTACCTGCGTTGACAAATGTCCCTCCTAGTATCTTTCTTTAAACTCATATAATCAATTTAATTTGGCCACTAGAGTCTATTAAAGTAGTTTATTTTAAGCATGTTGAAACTGACAGTGATCATGAACCACCCTTTTCCTCATTTGGAGGCGATATATTGTCAATTGTCATCTTGAAGGAAGCTTTTTGTTTGTTTATATTATGAGGTTGCATTTCCATTCTGTTCTTGCTCAGGGATAGTTGTATTATAGATTTAATCATAGTTACACACTGTCTTCACTCAATGAGTGCATCCAGGATAAAGTATCATTGAACTGTAAGTGCTTTGGAAATCCTGAAATCTGATGTCAAAGTAGTGTACATACTGAACTTTCTTCTTTTTCTTAGGAATATTTGACTTGTTATTTTTTCCTATTATCATATATATGCAGGGTGGATGTGATATTTGCAGTATGGGAGATTTTGATGTTTGCTTGCCTTGTTTTCGCTGGCGTTTCTTTGTATTTTAGGTACATGAGGCTTGCTTTTCTCCTCATATGTGTTACAATAATTATTCTTGTTTGCATGAGAATAACTAACAAAGTGAGGCAAAATAGAAAAAGTACGCGAAGAATGCTCCTTCCTTTGTCAATGTAACTTGTAGGCAGTTAGCCTGTGGTTGGTCATCTTAAACTATGCAGAAGGATATTTTTCAACTACTTCTGCCAATGTTTTGTGCTGATATGTATCCATTTTCATGGAGATATTTTTTCTTTTGATGGTTCAGTTCAAAGATTTGACTTGAATCATTGAACTCAATGGAATGTATAAAAATGTTGTGCTGAGCTTTGGGTGTGTATAACTTTTGAGTGTAATTGCTAAGATCTATTTGAGTTTCAAATTACAATATATGATAGCTTTTCCATGACTTGCTCAAACTAAAGTGCTTAGAAGTTTTCAGACATTTAACTTGGATGACTGTGAAATGTAATCAATGTATGATACTGGGTCAGATCTTTGTTATCTCATGAAAATTTGCAAAGATATCATCATCTATTTATTTAACAAGAGTAACAAACTTAACTTTCGGATGATTAAACTTGACTTTTGGAGTAATATACATTGAAATGACCTTTATTAGCGATTAATGAGCTTCTTGGATTGACTATTGATGAAACTTGCCTCCTCTTCCATGTGATTTTCTTCCTTCCCAAGGCAGCCATCTTCCACCATTTCCTTGCCAATGCCATCTCCATGAGTCTTGCTCTGCTAATCATGGCATGCAGGTTGGCTATAGATGCTTTGGAGGAACAAGAACGACCATAATCAAGTATCTTGCTTAGTAGTGCTACCCTTCTACTTATAGGCTAGGAAAAAAAAAAACTCATAGAAGCCTGTAGATTTCTTGATTATGGTCCTAGCTTGACAATACCATGTGCTTACCAGATAATGAGAAAATTTCATGCTTGGGTTATGATATGATTTTTCTTTGTCGTGGTGGAGCATATTGAAGTGGTCAGTAATGGATTTTCCTTCTCAGAAATCCAACAACTAGATGACATCTCAGTGCGATCTATTTTCTAAATGTCAATCTTGTAAATTCTGGAATGTAAATGATATTTGAATATTGGTAAGGACAACTAAGGTTTCTCTCATTCAATCTTTTTTGTCTCTTTTAAGTTGTTTTTTCATCGGTATTTAAATAGCAATAAATATGTAAGTATAATTGGTTCATTCTTGGTTCAATAGTCTTTGAAGGTCCACCTGCATGTGATTCTGTTACCTATACATTGCTTCATTTGCTTTGAAGTGCAAACAGACTTGAGCATATGAAGGAGTCTGTCAATCTTTTGATGGTTAATGTTCTGAAGCTTACCACTTGCCCTCATGGCCCTGTTCCATATGTTTCTATGAAGTCCTACAGACCTATATGCCCATTAGTTATGGGCATAATGTTGACAATAACATGGATTTGGTTGGGCATTTGCCTTATTCAGGTGGGACTTATGCACCACTTAGTTTGTTCCAACCTGCCATTTAACTAATATGTTACAAGAATTAGATGAAACTTCGCCTTAGAAAAAAAAAAAGTTGAAACTCTACCACCAAGATTTTACTATCTTAGCAAGCCACAAGTTATTCAACTCTTCTAGCCATTTATCAAATCTTTGTCATGTAAATTGATCAGAACAATCAACTCAAACTTAGGTGTATGACATCCTCAGACACATGTTTTGTTACTCATGTCCTTAACAACAAGTGTCACGACCCGAAATTGGCCTATCAATTTCATTTGGTCCAAATCATTGGTCAAAATGCTTAAGCTGAAATTGATAGTAGTACACTCATTAGACCCTTATAAGCCAATCTTAGTCTTGCCCACTTCTGATGTGAGACTAATCGGGGTATTATAATTTTTCTCAATCAAGGGCTTGACATTCTCGTCAAGGCTCAACATAGCGCAGATCAAACTCTAACATAG